ATTCACTATATCTGGTCTCCTCGAACCCTGCATTCACTATATCCGGTCTCCCAGGACCCTGCATTCACTATATCTGGTCTCCCCGGACCTGCATTCACTATATCCAGTCTCCTCGACCCTGCATTCACTATATCCAGTCTCCTCGAACCCTGCATTCACTATATCTGGTCTCCCAAGACTCTGCATACACTATATCTGGTCTCCCCGGACCCTGCATTCACTATATCTGGTCTCCCCAGGCCCTGCATTCACTATATCCGGTCTCCCCAGACCCTGCATTCACTATATCCGCTCTCCCCAGACCCTGCATTCACTATATCCGCTCTCCCCGGACCCTGCCTTCACTATATCTGGTTTCCCCGGACCCTGCATTCACTATATCTGGTCTCCCCAGACCCTGCATTCACTATATCCGGTCTCCCCAGACCCTGAATTCACTATATCCGCTCTCCCCTGACCCTGCATTCACTATATCCGGTCTCCCTGGACCCTGCATTCACTATATCTGGTCTCCCCGGACCCTGCATTCACTATATCTGGTCTTCCCGGACCCTGCATTCACTATATCTGCTCTCCGCCCCCGGACCCTGCATTCACTATATCTGCTCTCCCCGGACCCTGCATTCACTATATCCGGTCTCCCCGGGCCCTGCATTCACTATATCCGGTCTCCCACAGTACACAGAACATAGAAATGCAATTATTTTAGTAAATATAAACTGCTAAATACCTTTTCTCATCAGCAGTTAGAGCAGTCTTGTGACTTCTATCAGTGTCCAGCTGAGCACTGGTTTAAATCATGTAGGAGGAGTTTTCATTCTGCTCTGACTGTCCTATGAGGCTGCATAACCCCTGACCCTCTGTCTGGATAGTGCTGATTGGCCCTGTGATGATCACATGCACCCATCCAAAGAAAAAAAAAAACTCTCTAGTGATACATATTAAACTGAGCATGAGCAGAGTGACTCCTAGAGCTCTGTATTGTCAACAGATGGATTGGGGACAGTAGAAGAAGGGGAGGATCAGAGAAGACAGGATCAAACAGCTTTTTTACACATTGCGGGGATTAACCCTTTAAGTCCCACAGTGAGTATAACAAGCATGCTTTACTGCATATACAGACTGATTGTACTGTTGTGGGTTTAGTAACATTATAAAAGGAAAAAAGGCTGCATTTGTCCACTAGGTGGCTCTGAGTATCAGAGGGATTTACAATTATACTTAGTGCCATCTAGGGGCCAAATGCTGTATTTTCCTATTTAAATCAATGAAATACTTTAAAAAAACACTGGAAATAATCTAATAATATTTATTTTTCCCCCATTCACATGCTCTTGCTGATATGCAATGTATTTTATAAATAGTGTGTTTGGGATAAAAAAAAGCTTTTTATAACATGTTAGGGTAGTCTACTGAAACTGAAGGGTAAAAGGTACTGAACCAAAACATTTATGAAACTAAAAAAAAAATGTTCTAGGAGCCTAGCCGGCTATAGAGAGGAAAAAGTCTCAGGGGCTGAACCAGGAAAAAAAAATGAATTGAAGGCAGAGTGGGAACTTCCCTTCTCTATGTGCTGGAGGCTGATCTCAGCATAGAGCTGTGGAGAAAATGGGCAGTGCTGCCAGGCAACTCTATGGAAAATTTTGGTGAACACAGAAACACTCAGCAAACATCATCCTCACCTAGGCAAGCAATAAGGAAGTAGAAGCAAGCCCTTTGAGGCTTACTTACTACCCAAAAAAAAAAAAAAAAAACTTTCCAAATGCATTAAAAGGAGGGCCCGGAATATGCAGTCTTCAATAAAAGAGTGAAGGCACATTTTAAGGCTTCTTTCACTGGGTGGGCAGAAACAACAGGCAGCTGAGCCACAGTTTTACCACCCACCTAAAGCCTACTATCAGCCAGCGGGCACTCTTTACATACCATGGACACGATGCTTTCCTTCAAATTTAACATGAAATGTTGAGTTGACAGGTGGAACCACCTATCAAATTCGTCTACTCAACTCAATGGAGTCCACGTCAGCAGTTGTGGCACTTTAGACCCATTGAAAATGGCTACTCCGCAAAAAAAACATATTTTATTTTGTTTTTCAGAACTTTTTGAGTAACACACTTACCAATTAAAGGTTTCACTTCCATATTATTTAATTCTATATTGTCTAGTTGTTTTAGTATAACGAAGAGTCACACATTTTTTATTTTTTTTTTGGATAGAGGGGGATAGGGGTTAGAAACTCTGTCAGGTTTTTATCTGTGCCTCCATTGGGGAGAGTCACCCTCTCAATCCGTCCTGTTTATCGTTATGACCAAGAGTATAGGTAAGTGGTCTCCAAAATGGTCCTTTGCTTGCCTTTTTCCGGCCCTTGATGTATTATTCCTGCCACTGATACCAATGATGGGGGCATAATCCTGTCACTGACACAAACAAGGGGGCACTATTCCTCCCACTGATACCAATGATGTGGGGACACTATTCCTCCCACTGATACCAATGATGGGGCACTATTCCTCCCACTGATACCAATGATGGTGCACTATTCCTCCCACTGATACCAATGATGGGACACTATTCCTCCCACTGATACCAATGATGGGGCACTATTCCTCCCACTGACACCAATGATGGGGCACTATTCCTCCACTGATACCAATGATGGGGCACTATTCCTCCCACTGATACCAATGATGGGGCACTATTCCTCCCACTGATACTAATGATGGGCATTATTCCTCCCACTGACACCAATGATGGGCACTATTCCTCCCACTGATACCAATGATGGGGCACTATTCCTCCCACTGATACCAATGATGGGGGCACTATTCCTCCCCACTGATACCAATGATGGGGCACTATTCCTCCCGCTGACACCAATGATGGGGCACTATTCTCCCACTGACACTAATGATGGGGCACTATTCCTCCCACTGATACCTATGATGGGGCACTATTCCTCCCACTGACACCAATGATGGGGCACTATTCCTCCCACTGATACCTATGATGGGGCACTATTCCTCCCACTGACACCAATGATGGGGCACTATTCCTCCCACTGACACCAATGATGGGCACTATTCCTCCCACTGATACCAATGATGGGGCACTATTCCTCCCGCTGACACCAATGATGGGGCACTATTCCTCCCACTGACACTAATGAGGGGCACTATTCCTCCCACTGATACCAATGATGGGGCACTATTCCTCCCCACTGATACCAATGATGGGACACTATTCCTCCCACTGATACCAAATGATGGGGCACTATTCCTCCCACTGATACCAATGATGGGGCACTATTCCTTCCACTGATACCAATGATGGGGCACTATTCCTTCCACAGATACCAATGATGGGACACTATTCCTCCCACTGACAGCAATGATGGGGCACTATTCCTCCCCACTGACACCAATGATGGGGCACTATTCCCCCACTGATACCAATGATGGGGCACTATTCCTCCCACTGATACCAATGATGGGGCACTATTCCTTCAACTGATTAGCAATGATGGGGCACTATTCCTCCCACTGACACCAATGATGGGACATTATTCCTCCCACTGATACGAATGATGGAGCACTATTCCTCCCACTGACAGCAACGATGGGGCACTATTCCTCCCACTGATACCAATGATGGGGCACTATTCCTCCCACTGATACCAATGATGGGGCACTATTCCTCCCACTGATACCAATGATGGAGGCACTATTCCTCCCACTGATTACCAATGATGGGGCACTATTCCTCCCACTGACACCAATGATGGGGCACTATTTCTCCCACTGATACCAATGATGGGGCACTATTCCTCCCACTGATACCAATGATGGGGCACTATTCCTCCCACTGATACCAATGATGGGGCACTATTCCTCCCACTGATACCAATGATGGAGCACTATTCCTCCCACTGACACCAATGATGGGACACTATTCCTCCCACTGATACCAATGATGGAGCACTATTCCTCCCACTGACACCAATGATGGGGCACTATTCCTCCCACTGATACCAAATATGGGGCACTATTCCTCCCACTGATACCAATGATGGGGCACTATTCCTCCCACTGATACCAATGATGGAGCACTATTCCTCCCACTGACACCAATGATGGGACTTTTTCTCTCCCACTATTCTCCCACTGATACCAATGATGGATGGGCACTATTCCTCCCACTGACAGCAATGATGGGGCACTATTCCTCCCACTGATACCAATGATGGGGCACTATTCCTCTCACTGATACCAATGATGGGGCACTATTCCTCCCACTGATACCAATGATATGGGGCACTATTCCTCCCACTGATACCAATGATGGGGCACTATTCCTCCCACTGATACCAATGATGGGGCACTATTCCTCCCACTGATACCAATGATGGGGCACTATTCCTCCCACTGATACCAATGATAGGGGCACTATTCCTCCCACTGACACCAACAAGGGGGCACTATTCCTCCCACTGACACCAATGATGGAGCACTATTCCTCCCATTGACACCAATGACGGGGCATAGTTCCTTCCACTGACAACAAAAATGGAGCACAATTCCTCCCACTGACTGACACCAAATATTTCTCCCCTGGGGCATTGTTTACTCCCACTGGGCACAGTCTGCCCCCCCCATAAAGTCTGAAGCTCTTTTAGAACATTTGGAGACCCCCGGTATAAGAGAACAAAAATCCAAATTTTGGGTTGTCCCCAGAACAGGAATAGAAGGGAAATCATCCAAAGGGACACTAGTTCTGGTGACAATCACTTTGGAGGGATTTCCTCTCACTGTTTTGGCTATAGGGACAGGAAGATAAGGGAAATTACTCCAATGGTACACAAATGGAAAATTAACCAGAAGGGTTTGAACCCTCCCTTGCTCTATCAAAAAAGTTTTGCCTTTTAGTTCAAGTTTAATTCAATGTGTATAGTCTGCACTAAATTTTTGCTTGAAAAACTTACAAAATATTCATTCTTTCTACAGTGCCGATGGAGAGTTTGCCATCACCCACATGACCAAAGCGCACCTGTTCCACACGGGAAAGGTTCAGTGGGTCCCCCCTGCCATCTACAAAAGCTCCTGCAGTATTGATGTGACCTTCTTCCCCTTCGACCAGCAGAGCTGCAAGATGAAATTTGGCTCTTGGACGTATGACAAAGCCAACATTGACTTGGAGAGCATGGAGCGCAATGTGGACCTAAAGGACTATTGGGAGAGTGGCGAGTGTGGGCGATTGTCAATGCCGTTGGGACGTACAACTCTAAGAAATATGATTGCTGCACGGAAATTTACCCTGATATCACATACTACTTCATCATTCGGAGGTTACCCTTGTTCTACACCATTAATCTAATCATCCCATGCCTCTTGATATCTTGCCTTACTGTCCTTGTGTTCTACCTACCATCGGATTGTGGTGAGAAGATCACGTTGTGTATCTCGGTGCTGTTATCTCTAACCGTGTTCCTTCTACTGATTACGGAGATCATCCCATCCACGTCGTTGGTGATCCCGTTGATTGGGGAGTACCTCCTGTTCACCATGATCTTTGTCACGCTTTCTATAGTCATCACTGTCTTTGTGTTGAACGTCCACCATCGATCGCCAAGTACCCACAAGATGCCTCTTTGGGTTCGTTCTGTTTTTCTGGAGCACATACCAAGATGGCTTTTCATGAAGAGACCACCAGCTCCAGTAGAGGAAATTATCAGTCAGTACGACACACCGGAGCTTAAGCTCAGTACTTCTAAATATTGGATGGAGACAGATGTGGATGAGAAGTGGGGGGAGCCAGAAGTGGAGTTGCAGCCGTGTCATGTCCATCATGTGTCCACACACAACCATTGCCTTCAGTATCGTTATGACTATAACCACCCAGTGCCTGGGGGACAATGCCAGACCCCTCGTCAAAGCAAAGTGGAGAACACTGAACCCAATTTCTTGCTCTCCCCAAGTATATTAAAAGCTTTAGAGGGTGTCCACTACATAGCGGATCACCTGAGGGCTGAAGATGCTGACTTTTCTGTAAGTATGATATGGATGAATAGAATGGAAAATGTGTGGCCAAAAAAGAATCACTTAAAGGGTCAATACATACAGTGCATCCAGAAAGTATTCACAGCGCTTAACTTTTGCCACATTTTGTTATGTTACAGCCTTATTCCAAAATGGATTAAATTCATTTTTTTCCTCAACATTCTACAAACAATATCCCATAATGACAACGTGAAAGAAGTTAGTTTTGAAATCTTTGCAACTTTGCAAATGAAAAAACCCCATGTACTGTACATAAGTATTCACAGCCTTTGCTCAATACTTTGTTGAAGCACCTTTAGCACCAATTACAGCCTCGAGTCATTTTGAGTATGATGCTACAAGCTTGGCAAACCTATTTTGGGCAATTTCTCCAAATTTTCTTTGCTGAAACTCTCAAGCTCCATCAGGTTGGATGGGGAGCGTTGGTGCACAGCCATTTTCAGATCTCTCCAGAGATGTTCAATCGGGTTCAAGTCTGGGCTCTGGCTAGGCCACTCCAGGACATTCACAGAGTTGGCCCGTAGACACTCCTTTGTTATGTGGGCTGTGTGGTTAGGGTCGTTGTCCTGTTGAAAGATGAACCGTAGCCTCAGTCTAAGGTCCAGAGCGCTCTGGAACAGGTTTTCATCAAGGATGTCTCTGCACATTGCTTCATTCATCTTTCCTTTTATCCTGACTGGTCTCCCAGTTCCTGCCACTGAAAAAACATCCCCACAGCATGCTTCACTGTAGGGATGGTATTGGCCAGGTGGTGAGCGGTGCCTGGTTTCCTCCAGACATGATGCTTGACATTCAGGCCAAAGAGTTCAATCTTTGTTCATCAGACCAGAGAGTTTTGTTTCTCATGGTCTGAGAGTCCTCAGGTGCCTTTTGGCAAACACCAGACGAGCTGCCATTTGTCTTTTACTGAGGAGTGGCTTCCATCTGGCCACTTTACCGTACAGGCCTGATTGGTGGAGTGCTGTAGAGATGGTTGTTCTTCTGGAAGGTTCTTCTCTCCTAAGAGAAATGCTGGAGCTCTTTCAGAGAGACCATCGGGTGCTTGGTTACCTCCCTGGCTAAGGCCCTTCTCCCTCGATCTCTCATTTTGGCCAGGCGACCTACTCTAGGAAGATTCCTGGTGGTTCCACGCTTCTTCCATTTAAGGATGATGGAGACCACTGTGCTCATTGGGGCCTTCAATGCTGCAGAAATTTTCTGTACCCTTCCTCAGATCTGTGCCTTGATACAATCCTGTCTCATAGGTCTACAAACAATTCCTTGGACTTCATGGCTTGGTTTGTGCTCTGACATGCACTGTTAAATGTGGGGCCTTATATAGACAGGTTTATGCCTTTCCTAATCATGTCCAATCAACTGAATTTCCCACAGGTGGACTCCAATCAAGTTGTGGAAACATCTCAAGGATGATCAGTGGGAATAGGATGCACCAGAGCTCAATTTTGAGTGTCATGTCAAAGGCTGTGAATACTTATGTACGTGTTGTTTGTTTTTTTTTTTCGTTTTTTATTTTTAATAAATTGCAAAGATTTCAAAACAAACTTCTTTCACGTTGTCATTATGGGGAATTGTTTGTAGAATATTGAAGAAACAAATGAATTTACTCCATTCGGGAATAAGGCTGTAACATAACAAAATGTGGCAAAAGCTAAGCGCTGTGAATACTTTCTGGATGCATTGTATAAAGTTCTATTGTAGTTCTAGGCAGAATCTGGTGGGATAAGTCCGCACCTGGCCTCTTATATGTCTTGGATACATCATCAGTGCTTCATCAATCTCCTAGATTGTAAGCTCGAAAGAGCAGGGCCCTCAAACCCCTTGTGTATTGTTTTGCTACTGTATTGCCTCATGTACTGTCCCCCACTATAATGTACAGCGCTGAGCAAACCTTTTGGTATAATATAATAATAATCAGTGAATTCTGGGTGTCTTCTGGCTCCTCCTCTTACATTCCCAGTAATATAAAATAAATACAAATCCAGTAGGGAAGTTGAGAAACTTTCATAATGGGCACAACAGGTATGTAGACTCGGGGGCTCATCTTTGGGTTAGTGAGAGCCTTCATAATGGGCACAACAGGTATGTAGACCCGGGGGCTCATCTTTGGGTTAGTGAGAGCCTTCATAATGGGCACAGCAAGGTTGTAGACCCTAGACCTCAACAAAGGGATGGTGGGAACCCTTCATAATGAGCATAGGCGGTGTACAGACCCAGGAACTCAGCACAGAGATGATGGGAGCTCCTCATAATGGGTACAGCAGGAGTGCAGGCCCAGGATCTCGGTTTAGGGATGGTGGGAGCAGGGGTGGACTGACAACTCATGGGGCCCCCGGGCAATAGGGGATCATAGGGCCCCTGTGTCTTTGCCCAAACTCAAAAAAAGCCTATGAAAAAGGTACCTGGGGGGGGCATCTCATGGGGCCCCCTACTGACCCTGGGCCCTCGGGCAGTGCCCGAGTTTCCAAATGGTCAGTCCGCCCCTGTGTGGGAGCCTCATTTAATGGGCACTGAGGGTTGCAGATCCCTCATAATGGGCACAGCAGGTGTACAGAACTGGGAACTCAGTGCAGAGATGGTGGGAACTGCTCATAATGAGCACAGAAGGTGTACAGACTCGGAAACTCAACACACACACGAAAAGGTGGAAGCTCCTCCTGGTCACAGCAGGAGTGCAGACCTGAGAACTCAGCTCAAGGACTGTGGGAACCCCTCATATTGGGCACATTAGGCGTGCACACCAAGGAACTCAGGGATAGTGAGAATCCCCTAAATTGAGCAAAGAAGATTTACAGCCTCAGGAACTGAGAACAAGGATGGTGGCAGCTCCTCATAATGGGCACAGCAGGTGTGCAGAGCCTGAAACTCAGCTCACGGATGGTGGGAACCCCTCATAATGGGTACAGCAGGTTTACAGATCCAGGAACTCAGTACAGAAATCTGTGTTCTGGTGCTGAAATACACAGGGTTGGAATGATGGACAGGTAGGAGACATGAGTACATGGGGTGCCATCTGGAATCTTTTTGGCTAGTAGGATTGCTTTGTTTCTTTCATGGCAGGTCACCTTTAAAGTTTTTATTTATTTTTTGGGTGAAATTCCAATCCCAGAATAAGTTTTTTTTTCTATCAGGAGATCCCTCCCATCCTACATCTTTGCCGTGCTGTAAGACCAATTTGTCTCCCTGGGTTGTCGGCAGGTACACACAGCTGTCTCAGGTACATCTGTCAGATTGCTCACTGCTCCCTGCCTAATCATCGCACCTAGGGACATTTCTGCATAATTGCCAAAAACATCATGCCGCCATCGAATGCAGAACATGAACTCGCAAACCCCAAATTGCAGCACTGATGACTTAACCCTTATGCTACCAGCACAATCCTGTCCACAAGAGAAATCTGATCTCCAGGCAAACATCGCAGTTCACAGATGAAAAAGAAATGCAGCTGCTGTTTTACATGCTAAATATTTTGCATTTCTGTCTATCCAGTCTTGAGCATTAGCTAGCTCTTGAGCTACACAGCATAAGATTGTTTGTCAATGGAGGGGACCTGATCTTTCTCCCCTGCATTTTCACTTTTACTTACAGGTCCCCTCTCCACCCTATAGCTCAGTGGTTCTCAACCTGTGGGTCGCGACCCCTTTGGGGGTCGAACGACCCTTTCACAGGGGTCCCCTAAGACCATCAGAAAACACATATTTCCGATGTGTAAAGAGCAGCTACTGTGTAGAAAGCAGCTACTGTGTTGAAAGCAGCTACTCTGTTAGAAGCAGCTACTGTGTTGAAAGCAGCAGTATTGGAGGTGAAACGACACTCATGAATTATAATTACTGGGTAAATAATTTTATGGTTGGGGGTCACCACAACATGAGGAACTGTATTAAAGGGTCACGGCATTAGGAAGGTTGAGAACCACTGCTATAGCTGAACAGTGAAAGGAGAAGCAGCAGACTGATGAACTCATCTCTCTGTCACTCTCTCTCCCCCTATCGGCATGTTCCTTGCACTTCAAAAAACTTGATACACTCCTGATGTTGGACAGGGAGACCTCACTATTGAAATTCCAATGACCCCCAAAGGTGTTGGGGTTGAGATCGGATACTGATGTTAGATGTGTAGAACTGGGTCACAATCATTGTTCTAATTCATCTCAAAGGTGTTCGGTATTGTTGAGTTCAGGTACTGATGTTGGATGGGTAGACCTGGGTCACAATCATTGTTCCAATTCATCCCAATGATGTTCAGTAAGGTTGAGGTCAGGTACTGATGTTGGATGGGTAGACCTGGGTCACAATCATTGTTCCAATTCATCCCAATGATGTTCAGTAAGGTTGAGGTCAGGTACTGATGTTGGATGGGTAGACCTGGGTCACAATCATTGTTCCAATTCATCCCAATGATGTTCAGTAAGGTTGAGGTCAGGTACAGATGTTGAATGAGAAGACCTGGCTCACAACTGGTGTTCTTATTCATCTCAAAGGTGTTCGGTATTGTTGAGGTCAGGTACTGATGTTGGATAGGTAGACCTGGGTAACAATCATTGTTCCAATTCATCCCAATGATGTTCAATAAGGTTGAGGTTGGATACTGATGTTGGACGGGTAGACCTGGGTCACAATCATTGTTCCAATTCATCCCAATTATGTTCAGTAAGGTTGAGGTCAGGTACAGATGTTGGATGAGAAGACCTGGCTCACAATTGGTGCTCTTATTCATCTCAAAGATGTTCAGTAGGGTTGAGGTCATGGATGTGTGCAGGCCACTCAAGTTCCTCCACACCAAAGCCATCAAACCATGGTTTTTATGGAGTTGGCTTTGTACGCAAGGGCATAGTCATACTGAAACAGAAAAGGGCCTTTACCAAAATGTTGCCACATGGTTGGAAGAGGACAATGGTCTACAATGCATTTGCTGTGGAACACCTGAACTCAGTTACTTAGAGGGGTATCCACATACCTTTGGCCATGAAGTAAGTATGATAGTCAGGTGTG